TGGTAGTGGCAGCATGGTGGGTTACACGCTTGTCAGCTGAGGTGGAGTGCTAGCAGGTACTAGAGTGCCTGCCTCTCTTCATCACAGTAGTGGAGGTAATGCACTGGTGGGAGGTGGGGATGTGGGAGCTTGCAGGGGAGCCTGATTGCAGATGTGTGCATGGTCACACTGGTGGTAGTATTGCCTTGGGGGCAGGGTGCTGGCAGACAACAGGTCTGTGTGCTTTCTCTGGGCCCTGTAAGCAGGAGTGGTTGTTTAGGGCAGGCGAGGATTCACTGTTCTCTGTGCCTCGTTCGACTCCCTCAGCAGTGTTAGCACAAGAGTGAGGCACTGGTGGATGCAGGGCTGGCTGGTTCTTTGCCTGCCAAGGCTCCATCTGCAATGATGGTTGGTGGAGGGAGGAGTGGCAGACTATACTCCCGACACAGCAGTGGCAGAGTGGGGTGCACACATACTCACCCACTGGTAGGTTAAAGAAAGCAAAACCAGCCTATGCAAACACATGCCAGCAAAGCAATGTGAGGAGTTGCACTGGACCCTGGGGGAAGTTGCATTGTGGAGAGGGTGCATGCAGGCTGGTGCATAGGTCTGGGGGCTGCCATGCTGGAGCTCCTTGAAGGTTAGGCATAGTGTACCAGTAAGGAAGCTATGATGTGGCCAACCAGGGCACCCAGGGCTGCCCTGCAAGAAAGTGTGGGCAGGCTGGGGCTCTAGGAGAGGCCAGCAAACCAAAGGGTGCTCAGGTTGGACTGGTCCTATCTATGAGCAAGACCACCCTGCAGAGTTCAGGACTCACAGTTCTCCAAGGGCTTAAGTCTCCTATGGGAAGAAGTAGAGCCCTAGGGTGATGGCTGTCCCTGGCCATGCTCTGCTACAGATGGTCCCACACTAAACCCTTTGGGCTCCACATCAGCTGGTTTGCTCTCAACTTCAGTTGTCTATGGTGGTTGAAGGGTCTCCTCCTGCTGGGGTTTGAGAGGCCCATGGTGAAAGTGGGTTGCTCCTTACTAATTCAACTCACCTGTTCCCCTGGAGCTGTTGGGGACACAGGAACAAGTCCAGGTATACAGTAGCCCTATGTAGGGGTTCCCAGCTTTCCCTCCCTAAGTCTGGCTTCTGTATGTTCCCTCTGTTCACTTTCAGTACCTTCTCTCTGAATGTCTGTAAGGAGTACACCAGTCATCTCAGTCCCTTGGTGGTAGCTGCTCTATCTGGCTGCATTTAGTCAGCCATCTTGGCACCCCCCACCCCCCAAAAAAACTTCTTAATGTTAATGTGGGAAAAACTGAATGCTATTCATCTGAGATCTTTATAAGGCAAAGATGCCTACTCTTACCATTTCTATTGAATATAGAAGGGATGTAAGAACAAGAGCAATTAGTCAAGAAAAAAATAACAAGTACATAAGCCTTTTAAAAAATATGTTTTTTGGCTACATAAATGTCTTCTTTTGAGAAGTGTCTGTTCATGCTCTTTGCCCACTTTTTAATGGGTTGGATTTCTTGTAAACTTAAGTTCCTTACAGACTCTGGATATTAGACCTTTGTCAGATTGTAAACATTTTCTCTCATTCTGTAGGTTGTCTGTTCACTCTGATCAAGTTTCTTTTGCTGTTTAGAAGCTCTTTTGTTTAATTATATCCCATTTGTCAATTTTTGTTTCTGTAGCAATTGTTTTTGATGTTTTCATCATGAAATCTTTGCCTGTGTCTACGTCCTGAATGGTATTGCTTAGATTTTCTTCTAGGGTTTTTATAGTTTTGGGTTTTACATTTAAGTTTTTAACTCATCTTGACTTAATTTTTGTATAAGACTTAAGGAAGGGGCCTAGTTTCAATTTTCAGTGTATGACTAGTCAGTTTTCCCAGTACTATTTATTAAATAGTGAATTATTTCCCCTTTGTTTTTGTCAGGTTTTTAAAGATCAGATGATTGTAGATGTGTGGTCTTTGATCTGAGTTCTCTATTCTGTTTCATTGGTCTATGTGTCTGTTTTTGTATCAGTACCATGCTGTTTTGGTTATTATAATATTGTAGTATGGTTTGAAGATGGGTAGTGTGATGCCTCTAGCTTTGTTCTTTTTGTTTAGGATTGGTCTTAGCTATAACGGTTCTTTTTTGGTTCCATATGAACTTTAAAATAGTTTTTTTTCTAATTCTTTGAAGAATGTCAGTAGTAGTTTGATGAGAACAGCATGGAACCTATAAATTACTTTGGGCAGCATGGCCATTTTCATGATATTGATTCTTCTTATCCATGAGCTCAACATCACTGATCATTAGAGAAATGCAAGTCAAAACCACAATGAAATACCATCTAATTCCAGTCAGAATGGCAATTATTGAAATGTCAAGAAAAACAGATGCTGGTAAGGGTGCAGAGAGATAGGAATGCTTTTCCATTGTTGGTGGGAATGTAAGTTAGTTCAATCATTATGGAAGATGGTGTGGCAATTCCTCAAAGACCTAGAACCAGAAATACCATTTAATGTAGCAATCCCATTACTGGGTATATACCCAAAAGAATATATATCATTCCTTTATAAAGATACATGCACGTGTATGTTCATTGCAGCATTATTCACAATAGCAAAGACAAGGAATCAACCTAAATGCCCATCACTGATAGACTGGACAAAGAAAATGTGCTACATATACACCACAGAACACTACACAGCCATAAACAGGAATGAAATCATTTCCTCTGCAGGGACATGGATGGAGGTGAAAGCCATCATCCTCAGCAAACAAACACAGGAACAGAAAATCAAACTGCATGTTCTCACTCATAATTGGGAAGTGAACAATGAGAAAACATGGACATAGGCAGGGGAACAACACACACTGGGACCTGTGGGGGTGAGGAGGGCAGGGGTTGGGGGGAAGGAGAGCATCATGAAAAACAGCTAATGCATGATGGGCTTAATACTTAGGTGATGGGTTGACAGGTGCAGCAAACTACCATGTCACATATTTACCTATGCAACAAACTACTGCATACCCTACACATGTACGCAATGACTTAAAAAACAAAACAAAAGGAAGTAAAAAATAAGCCTAAGAGGAAAAAGTAAAATTATTTCTATCTGCCGATGACATAATCCTGCATACAGGAAATTCAGAAAACTTCATAAAAATTGTTAGAATAAATAAATCCAGTAAAGTAGCAGGATACAGAATCAACTTACAAAAATCAGTTGCATTTCTTTACACCAATAATGATCTATCTGAAAAAGAAATCAGGAAAACACAATTCATCACAATAGCATCAAAAATAATAAAATAGAGGGTGGAACAAGGTAGCCAAACAGAACCCTCCAGTACTCAATCCCCTGCAGGGACGTCAAGTTCAACAAATATCCTCGCAAGCCCAGGCAGCACAGTGCGAAGAGAGAATCTACTTCCTTAGGATGCAAAAGGAATGTGATTGTGGGATTTTCCATTGGACCCTAGTGCTGACCCCACTGCAGTGGAACGCAGCACTGGGCAGAGCCTCCAAGGCCCTTCCTTCTAGGCTGGAGGCCACAGAGGGAGCCTTTAGATCCACCCTGGGTCAGAGAGGAATCTGCTACCCCAGCAGAAGGAATCCAAGTTCCAGTCCACTTCACAACCAGCTGACTAAAGTGGCCTTCAACCAGACTCTAAGACGAGGATTCACACTCAGGTAGATTACTGGGGAGGTGATTTAAGGAAGCACCACTGCAGGAGTGGGACAGTGAGACCAGGGCAGTTTGAGAATCAATAAAGGGTATGTTATTGACAAGTTGCCTGTGAACAAAGAAAACGTAATTCCACTGGACAACACCAGGAGGCAGTGTTATACAAGCCTAAAAATAATTCCACCTGACCAGGTAGAGCGCAAAGATATTTAGTCTCTAACTCCCATCATCCTGGGCTGAGTAGTGGTCCCAGGGAATTAGTTTTCAAGTATGTCTACCCTGCCAGAGGACATGCCAAGAGAAAGGCTTTCCATAGAGTCCCAAGTTTACATGGCAGGACATCAGACGCATGGTCTAGAACAGTAGGTGCCGTAGGCACAGCACAAGGCAACACTCACTTGTGGACAACTCACTCACATGCAATAATAGTAAAAAAAAGGACCTCATAGAGGTTAAGAGTAGAATAGTGACTACTAGAAACTGGGAAAATGGGGGGAAGGGGAGATGGAGAGAGGTTGATCAAAAGCACAATGTTATGTAGCTACTCTGTTGCACCGTAGGGTGACTACAGCTAACAATAATGCATTATATATTTCAGAGCTAGGATTCTGAATATTCTCAAAACAAAGAAATGATAAATGTTTGAAGTGATAGATGTGCTAATTACCATGATTTGATCATTACACAATGTATACATGTATCAGAACATCACATTGTACCCCATAAACATATACATTATGTATAAATAAACAAAAAATATATTGTGTAGAGAAAAATGCATAACAGCAGGAGTTATAGACCAGTATCATTAATGTAAATAAAAAACACCAGCATAGACAAAGCCATATGACATATGTCACTCTCATACATGGAATTATTTCAGACACATTACCCAGTGCCTTTGGGTAGAGAGGCCAGTGGGAATGAGGATGACGGCTGAAGGGAAGAAAATTTTTTAAAAGAGGCCTAATGGGAATTGATGAAGAAAGTATGCCATAAACTTGGAGTGTGATTAAATCCTTCCATCTTCCTCTTTTGCCTCCTCTAGGTTACCAGCTCTGCTTTTCCTGGACCTGTTCCAGGCTCTCACGTTCCACATCACACATGGGACATCTGGTGTCAGGCTCCCAGAGAGCAGGAACCAGCTGAAATACAAGGGCACAGTCCTCCCAGCTGGTGGCATGGGGATCACTGAACAATACAACTCTTCACACTTTTTTAATGGAAAGATTTGAATAGGGGTTCACAGGAACAACCTGAGGCCCTGCAACTACATTTCCCAGAGTTCCCTGGGGTGATCCTAAGGTGACTCTGGGAGTGAGGCCACTTGGACAGCCAATGAGAGTACTTCCCCTGCACACTGTGGAAGTGAGAGGACTTCCTCATAGCCCTTGGATGTGGGAGGATTTCATTCAGTCTGCTTCCTGGTTGCCGGCTGAAAAAACCTGGTAAGTGGAACTCTCTGTAAGGGACTTGCAGCATACTTTGAAATTGAGGTTTAATCCTATCTCAAGTGTGAGTACAGGAAAGTTGATTCTACATGATGCCTGCATTTCAAGTATAAGTTTGTTCAGAAAGTCTAATTGGCACATACTTGGAGTCTAATGCTGTCACTACTCCACAGCGTAGTGGTGACAGTTACAGGTGCTTGATTCAAACTGTTGCGTTTAGAGTCACAGCCACTTTATAGCTGTGAGAACTTGGACTAGTCACTTAGTTTTTCTAAAACTCAGTTTATTTTTCAGTCAAATGGAGCTATGAATACTGCTTACTTAAAGGAGTTGTTGTGAGGATTAAATACATGTATTAAAAGATAGCTAATATGTTTAAGGCAACTTTCTCAACAGGATTCTCCTCTTGGTTACTTGTAACAGTGATACTGACCCAATGGCGTGTTTCCTAAAGGACCCAGTTAGTCCTACAGGCAGCAAGCTCGTAATAATTCCTGCTCCTGTTGCACTAGCTGATAAAAAGCCCCTAATGATCCCAGATGTCCAGGAAGTTTAGATTCTGTTGTTTGCATTGTCTATGGGAATTGCTGGAGGCAAGTTTTTTCTTTTCTTCTTCTTTTTTTTTCTTAAGACAGAGCCTTGTTCTGTTCCCCAGGCTGGAGTACAGTGGTACAATCTCAACTCACTGCAACCTCCTCCTCCTGAGTTCAAATGATTCTCCTGCCTCAGTCTCCTGAGTAGCTGGGATTACAGGCACTGGCCACTGTGCCTGGCTAATTTTTGTATTTTTTTTGTATTTTTAGTAGAGACGGGGTTTCACTGTCCTGGCCAGGCTGGTCTCAAACTCCTGAGCTCAAGTGATCCAGCTTCCTCGGCCTCCCAAAATGCTGGGATTACAGGTGTGAGTCCCCGCACCTGGGAGGAAGTTTTGTCATGGTGGAAGTATGCTTAGTGGAGAGGATCTCCAAGAAGAATGAATGACAAAAAAATTAACTCCTTCACTGTCAGACTGACAGCATCACCCCCTGAACATGGACTTGCAGAATTCTACAGAAGAGAGGAGACTGGCCTGGGCAAACAGCCCCAGGAGCTTGGGGCCCAATGGGCTTTCTACCCGGGATGCTGCTCCATGCCCTGACTGATGCCCACAACAACCGTACACCTGCTCTTTTCTGATTAAAAAACAAAAGACAGCCATACTGTTTGCTCTTGAATGCTTGAAACACAAAACAGGTGACACGACCTTTCTCCTCAAAAGGAATTTTTAAACTGTCAACTCTCTATCTGCACGCTGCCCAGAGACTTATTTTGTCTGGCCTTTGCTGTCTTCAATAGTAGCAGCTGTTTTTCTTTAGATTTGCTTTCCTGGCCTGTTGCAAGTACCCCCAGCACCTTCCTGGCCCCAGTAGGCATTAAGTGGGACCAGTGAGAGGGATGCAGTCCTTCTGGACAGTAACAACTGTTGAATGATGGTCTTTGGGTGTGGCTAGTCCAGCAACTCCTTTTCATCCAGAGACTCAAAGGGTTGGCTTAGGAGGTGCTAGGTTGTATCGTCAATTTAGTAGGGTACCATGCTCTTCCTTCATGGTGGTAGAGACAAAAGAAAACAGAAGGAATAGGAAAAGAAAAACATACAACACACACACACACACACACACACACAGAGAGAGAGAGAAAGAGAGAGAGAGAGAGAGAGAGAGAGAGAGAGAAGCCACTCATTAGCTCTCCTTATAATTCTTCTAATCATTAATACCAGAAATCTATGCAGCAGGTGTAGAGGATTTTATCTCAGTCTGCAATTGTACTTGTGCTGATTTTAGCCTTAAGGCATAACAGCCCTATCTCACAGGCAGGCTACCTCTGAGTGAATCTGCTTTATTTGTTTATTTATTTATTTAGAGATGGAGTTTCGCTCTTGTTGCCCAGGCTGGAGTGCAATGGTGCGATCTCGGCTTACCACAACCTCTGCCTCCTGGGTTCAAGCAATTCTCCTGCCTCAGCCTACCGAGTAGCTGGGACTGCAGGCATGTGCTCATGCCCAGTTAATTTTGTGTTTTTAGTAGGGATGGGGTTTCCCCATGTTGGTCAGGCTGGTCTTGAACTCCCGACCTCAGGTGATCCGCCTGCCTTGGCCTCCCAAAGTGTGGGATTACAGGTGTGAGCCACTGCGCACGGCCTGATCTGCTTTTAATTCTTTTATGTTTGGCTCTTGTTTATAACTTCTTTTAGAGAAAGAATAAGATTTCTTTAGCCAAAAAGAAAAAGAAAACCACTGCTGTATATTTAACGTATGTAGATTCTAGAGACCTGGAATTGAACAGTGAGTTCTGCCTCTCAACCTGCTCTCCAGGTGTACAACATCCAAGAATGTGATCTATTACTGAAGTGCCATGTCAAGTAGGGATAAATCACAATAGTTGGTCAACTGTTGAAATTGATCATTCAACTAAACAACATTCATGAACTCTGCAGAAAAACACAAGCATTTTGCCCAACATTCAGGGCCCTCTAGAAGTTGCCTCATTCTGTGTATCTTATCTTTCTTTTACATAGTTCTCCAAAATGTCCACCAAGGTGGCCTAAGTCAGGTTTCCCCAAACCAGATACCAAGACAAGAATCCATGTGCAAGTGACTGAAGGAAGTGCTAGGAAAACCCCAGATGTAGCCTGGATATGAATTACAACTCCAAAATGTGTCCAGACTCAAGGCAAGGACGCTAGGCTTTCCAGACCTCCTACTAAGTCATCGATCCAGCATTACCCTGGCAGGACATAAATCCCTGGCACTTCTAGCTCCTGCAAAGGAGGGCAAAGCAGCTTCAGGAGCCCTTAGGAGTCCTCCAAAGAGAGTCAAGATACAGGTCCTAAAATAGAAGAACACAGAAGGCAGGCCAGGGGCACTGTGAGATGGTAAAAGAGATCTGAAGAGATCCATGTAAGTTATTGAAAGTTATTCATTCATTTTCATTCCCATGATAACTTCAGACCTGAATCCTTGCCAGATCCATGTTCCCTCTTAGGTACCCTGAGTAGGCCTATTTTATTTTATACCCTTCTGTACTTATGGTGGAAACCAATAGGTCTTTTTTTGTTTTGTTTTGTTTTGTTTTTTGTTTTGAGTCTCACTCTACTGCTCAGGCTGGAGTGCAGTGGCATGATCTTGGCTCACTGCAACCTCTGCCTCCTGGGTTCAAGAGATTTTCCTGCCTCAGCCTCCCTAGTAGCTGGGACTACAGGCGTGTGCCACCATGCATGGCTATTTTTTTTTTTTTTTTTATTTTGTATTAGAGACAGGGTTTCACCATGTTGGCCAGGCTAGTCTCGAACTCCTGATCTCAAGCGATCCACCTACCACAGCCTCTCAAAGTGCTGGGATTACAGGCATGAGCCGCCGTGCCCAAACCCAATAGGTCTAAGGGGTCTCATTTGAGTCACCATATATATATATATATATATATTTCAATGTTTTTTGATTACTTTAGACAGGGAATGTACTCTCTAATTCCCTTCAAGCACTACCCCTCCTTATTTTATTATAGCTAGATATGTTTTGCCTTTACATTTCAATAATTTAACCAGAATATGTTCTGTTAAAAATCTGTTAATTGGGGGGCCATCAGACTGAGTGACTCCTGTGGTTTCATTCATTTTCATTCATTTTACTGTTTACCTGTAAACAGTAGAAAACTAGAGACTTCATCAATCGTCAACTAACCTCTAACTAGGGACATTTCATTCTAACCAACCCAGTATCTTTTCTTTGTCTCATTCCTGTGAACATTCTATAAAAGCTTCTCTCTTGCCCTCCCCTTTCCTCAGCAGAGCATTGAGCCACCTGTGGTCTGCTGCTGACTGACTCATGAATTGCTGCTGTTCTAATAAACTTTAACAACTATTATGCCTAAAAATTTGTCTTTTAACAATTCCAGTGTTGACAGTACTGGAGTCTCCTAGAATCTGGTCTTTCTGGATCTTCAGATTGAATTTTTAACTTCGTATTTCTATCTCCATATAAGCTAAAATGGCTCGTTCAATATCCTTAAGTCTTATCACCTTTCTACTCTTTGTTCTGTATTGAAAGGAGTCAGTATTCACCAACACTCCTTTAGTGTGACTTCGCCATTTCTTGGTTTTCATATTCATCTACTTGTTCACTGGCCATGAAACAAACTATCAGGATAGCTCAGTTGTTGCATTTCTTAAGCTCTTTTATATTTGATGTTACCTTGATATTCATGTTGCCTTTATGATCAAGTGAAATACTAACCAGAATATTTGGAGCTAACACTTTCCTTCAATACTTTGAAGATATACTTCTCTTACTTCACTGAAGGATATTTCTGCGTAACATTCTCTTGCTGGCCTGATATTTTTTCTTTTATGAAATATTTTCTTTCTCTGCAAGATGCTTGAGTAGTTGTCTTAAATTTTGACTTTTAATAATTTAACAAAAATATATTCCAGTGGCAAACATGTTATATCAAACTCTCCCAGAATTTTCTTTTGTTTTTCAGCTTCAGTTTTTTTCATCATTTCAGGAAAATATTTATCTTTAAATACATTTTTCTTTTTCTTTTTTTTTTTTTTTTGAGACAGGATCTCACTGTGTCGCCAGGCTGGAGTGTGGTGGCGCAACCTCGGCTCACCACAGTCTCCTCCTCCTGAGTTCAAGTGATTCTCCTGCCTCAGCCTCCAAAGTAGCTGGGATTACAGGCATATGCCACCACACCCAGCTAGGTTTTGTATTTTTAGTAGAGACAGGGTTGCACCATGTTGACCAGGCTGTTCTTGAACCTCTGACCTTGTGATCTGCCCGCCTTGACCTCCCAAAGTGCTGGGATTACAGGTGTGAGCCACTGCACCTGTCCTTTGGTTAACTTTTAAGTTCAGGGGCACATGTATAGGTTTGTTATATAGGTTAACTTGTGTCATGGGGGTTTGTTGTATCACCTCAGGTATTAAGCCTAGTACCCATTAGTAATTTTTCCTGATCCTCT